TCTTGCTGTCTGCAGCGACAGCTGCAGCCTTGAGGTGCTCGGCGAACTTTCCGATCCTCAGAATCTTTCTTGTCGTACCGAACTGCTTCTTGATTGCATTGTAGGGGTCGATAGAGGATTGTGGGCGGTTTGTACGGTACAGGTACCAGGCATAAAAGCGTGAGAAGTATTGCAGCGTACGGAGGATTTTGTCACGACCCACTGTATGTTGATCAGAACTAGTTCACATGCCTATATTGCAAGAAAAAATTTCCAGTGACAATTTCAATTTCTAGTCTCCCATATTTGTGTGCAAGTGGGTGGTCGAATAGATGCAGCAACGAAATGAATGGACCTCGGTCGCTAACCGCACAAAAGCAGAGGGAGAAGAGCACTACATACCAGTCGTAGCAACAAAGCGCAAGTAGTGCGCCAAGGTAGGATGATAAGCCAACGCGTCAGCGACCATATTGGCAGAGAGTGTTATATATTAATACGATCGCACAAATAGTGTCTTTGGTATCGTTAGAAGCCGGAAGATGTGTTCCGGTGTGTCGTGGATGTGGAGGAGAGGGGTATGACAGCAGCGATAACCACAGACCAGCTGGTAGCTTTATAAATGTCGAGAGACCGGAAACGGCACTGCACAGCCAGGATGCAGAATAAGGAGAGAGGAAAAAGGGATGGCAGCCGCGGAGTTGGCGTGATATGGGAGAGTTTAATGGGAGTGGTCGGTAATTGAATCTCCGGGGAAAGCGGCTGGAGGAACTGGCGTCGGGCATTGACCCTCAACCTCGGCTGCTCGTGGAGACGAGGAAAGTCAAGGTCTCGGAGATTTCACGGCTTTCTTCCAACCATTGCCGGGTTCGATTGCCTTTCTAGGTAGTATCTCTGCAATAGGCAGTACTACTACTACTAAACTGTACAACTACTACCATGAACTTCTACTTGTTTTCTTGCTTCCTACTACTGATTTCTAATTTATTAAGTCTGGAGCAGACTCCTAACAGATCTTTCTAGATTCTCCTTTCTCTTTCTCTTTTCTTTCTTTGTCCTCTTTCATTTTTTCGCCTCTTGTCACCGCTCTTTCTTCATCTCTTCTATCCGGTCTTCCCCCATATTAAAGTGGGACACGATACAGGGTCATCCAAATATCAGCCCTCGTGGATAAGATTTCTCATATCTTGCTTGTCTTGATAAAATGCATACTTGAAGAGCAATTAGAGACCACTACAAGAAGTATACTAGCGGGTAGGGTGCGTTGCGTTGGCAGCGAAAAATATAGTAATCGTCATTAACGTTCTCCAAGATGACCATGGATCACAGTTATAATACATCAGGGGCATGTCAATGAAGGTGATACATCATCAATCCGAGTCTTCGCTGCAATGGGGGATTTCTATATATCTCGCTTCTGGGCACTCGAAACATCTTCCGTCGCGGGTCGCACGGGGTAACTGTCACGCGATGGGGCATTGATATAGCCTAACATGGGCTAGGGAAATCCTCGTCTGCTCGTGTCGTACATACTGCTTCTGGGGCCTACTGGTCTCGGATGTTGCAAGGGCCGTCTCTTTGTGGAACATGTCGCAAGGAATAGCAAGGGAGCTGGCACTTGATAAGTAGGGGTCGGGCTGCGAACATACGGATTTGCAGGGGAGATGAAAATGGTGAAGGTCGACTACTGTGCTTCTCTGTTGCCCATCGTCGAGGTGTCATATCCGTTGGCCTCGAGAAAAGCACGGAACTTTTCATCCTCTTCGGTAATAGTGTCCTAATCGACGATGTAAGTCGAGCCTTTCCCATTGGTAGAAGCGGTAGGAGTGGGCGTCATTCATACCTGTCCAATGTGTGGTAGCAGAAAGTAGGCCATTGCAGCACTCAAAAGGCACAACGAGCTCGAGACAAAGAAAGGATCCTGGCCGGAACGGACCTCATTGGGGGCGTTGTTCTGGATGATTGGAATGACATAAGTGCCGACGAACGCTCCAATCTTGCCAGCAGCCGCAGCTATGGCGTAATATTGGCCTCGGATTGCAGTCGCGCTGGACTTTGCAGCACAAAGCCCGATATTGTCTCCTGGTCCGAACTCACCGAGAGCCGAAAAAATACTATAGCCATGAATTAGGGGATGCAAATTCACGCGCGTATAGAGGTTGACCGATTATCTTACCCGAATACTACGACAAATCCCGCAACATTCTTTGGGATACTGAGATACTCATAACAGCCTGACATAACGAAACCGATAACTCCTTGAAGACCAACCCCGATGGCTAACGTGTTGCGAGGTCCAATCCAGTCACTCACAAGGGCACCCAAGAAGGAGCCCGGAATGTAAAAAGCATTGGTTACAGTGGTCCAGCCGAAAGTCTTCCAGAGAGGAGCGCTATCTCCCAGGATGATACCCACCCACTTGGAGGAGTAGATGTTGAAGGAGTACGCCGAGAAATCGTAGATAAACCATATGAGGGATACCACCGTCTGTCCGTAGTTAGTTTATGACGCTCATGCAGAAGTGGTAACACTGGGGGCATACCAAACGCTTCCAGTAAAGCCTATGGCGGACAATTTAGTACATGCACCGGACATAGATCATAGCGATGGCTTACCGGATAATCAGCCAGACAGGGAACTTATGCATACGTTCCCTGTTGAACTCCTCTGGTTCTTCCAGTTTCAATCGCAGATAAAACAAACTAAGGGGTGGGATCACGCCCAATCCCAGGGCTATGCGCCAGACAGCGCGCAGGTGGTTCTCGGTACATATCAAGACCAAGATCATAGGAACCAAGGCGGACACAACATATGCAAAGTCAATTTGAAAGTTGGTGAACATGATGAACCACCGATTCCGATGTCCTTTCTTAAGTTCGCCTGTGTTTTCCGCGGCTGCAACAGATCCGGCTGGATATTCTCCACCAATTCCAATTCCCAGGAAGAAACGATAAGCTGTCAAGGCAGCGAACAAGCCGTATTGGCTGCCATTTAATCCGTACGCACCAGCACACAAGGCACTGAATATAATCAGAATTATCGTAGAGATCATCAGGGACCATTTTCGCGACCAATGATCGCTGACATATCCAAAAACAAGCTGACCGAGTACAGTACCAGCAAATGTGATGGAAGAAACGTTCTGGCTGGCGGGTGAGTTGTTGTATGAGTCCGGGTAGATTTTACCAAGGATTGTATTGACAGATCCGATTACCTAGATGAATTGTTAGTTCAGAGTGATGTTTCTCGATCATGCCCGACAAAATATTCCGGTGGGCGTCAGACATACGCCATTGAGATAACCATCTGAAAAGAGACCTGCGCCGCAAGCAATGGTAGGCCAACTACGTTCCCAGCGGCCCTTTTGCATAGTATTTTCTAACGGAGCAACATCGATAGGAACAGCACCAGAAGAAGCAAGAGCCTTCTCAGGCGGTTCTTCGGGGTGCTTTTGTGGATCCATGAGAACGTTGCCCTCGCCTGATATTCTATTGCTTCGACGTTGCGAAAAGTCGGAGCTAAGAATCAAGGAAATAAATAAGATTATTCAAGAGATATATAGAAGTTGCCAGCGATCACTGTGAGTTACACGAATATTGGAGAGATGATAGAGGGCTGAAAAGTGGAAGAGAAACAACCAAAAATTAGAAGTGAGAAAAAAAAAAGTTGAAAGAAAGATCAGAGCACCTGATAGAAACCCTGCGAACCGTGAACGCTCAGGTCATTCTCTTTAGTAAATGCAACTATAACTAGTTTACCATTGGTATTCCCACCCTAGAGCCCTCGGCTCGTGCCTCCTTAGCAGCCTACATCACCACCAACTTCAAGTTACCAAGCGGCAGCCCCTCTGCTCCATACGATAGTAGGACTAACATACCTTAATTAATTAATGCCGCCAGCTCACTGGACAGGTGTATAAAGGGTGGAGCTCTTATCTCTCGAGGAACTTGTTCGAATCCTCTGTCAAGAAATGCACTAAGCTTTCCTAAGATTTCGAGCTGATTTGCTATTGGAGAAATTCTTTTTAGTTGATTCTTTGAACGGATCCACTCGTCGAGCCGAATCCTATCAAAAGGCGAACCAAGCCCTACAAAGAAGGTGCTGTCTCTCACCTCTGGCACACTTGCTATATTGCTACGCTCTTTTGGCCCCACGGCACGTGCCTGAATTTACCACTTTTTCTTTTTGTTACACAGTATGATCTGGCCTTGTTTGCTGCACCAAAGCCAGGACCAAGGAAGACCCATGTATACCATGTCAGATATCACTTGATCAGCTGAGGACACACGCCTGTATTAAGTATAGTATCTCCCCTCCAATTTGTTAGATCTCAGAATCAAAGAAATATGGATACGGGACCATTCAATTTAAGACCCGAGTAAAGAATAGCGACAAGGGAACAAGCGAGGTCACATCATTGTCTCCGTCCACGACTCGGATATAGTGACTAGCGTTTGCTAGACTATCTGATAATCCTCCCCCCTCTCCATAGTCGAACAATCAGACGGCACTTGATGCTCTTTATGAAAATTTATCTAATGGAAGCTCAAATTTCCGAAGTCGAATTCGAGTCAACATGCACTATTATCTAGACAAGAATAGAAAGAACTCCGTCGAGTTAGGGCTTGTCTTCTCATGCTTTACTTTTCCTGTTCCTCGTATTAAATACTAAATAAACAGTGAATACCCTAGCCTATTTCTTTCGCCAGTAAAGTCCTCCTGTCTCGATGTAGATAATAGGTATTTTATTACTAATAATAATATATAATAATGCACAGGTAGCATGGCCCAGCTCACGTGATAAAGGTGACGGTGGTGACGGGTTTCGGGGCTGGAAAAACATTCCGCCAGCTGAGCTCAGGTCAGCTACGTAGGTTGGCTATGTGATGTATCTGCCTCTTCCGGTATCTCGTTCATAAGCAAACTGGAAGCGCATCTGTCAACTCTCCACCACCCATCTCTTCTTTCCTATTACCTTTATATAACCGTTCTTTACCGTCGAAATCTCATCTCGCATCGCCAGCATGGGGTCCGACCCGCAGTACATCAAGTTCCCCGATCTTACCCTCGCCCAACATGTCTTCAACCTTTCCAACCCATCGTGTCCGCAAACAGTGCGGCAAACGTCGTTGAAGAAGGTCCAGGATGCTATCTCCGAGAATAAAATGGCACCTTTCTACAGGCATCTTGCCCACCCCGTTGAAGGCATCCTGAACCATTCCGGTGAAGGCGTTCCCCAGCACCAAGCCAGCTCAACTAAGTCACTGATCACCTCGAATATGCTGGCATCTCGAAAGTCACCCCAAAAGATTGACTTTCCGTGGGATGAATCCTTATACCAGTCGCTAGTCGAGGATAACAAGAAGGAGTTGGATGCTTTTCAAAAGGAAGAAGACGAGGCGGAAGAAGCAGCCGGAGACACCGAGGTGCTTGCGGCCCGGGGGAAGCGTGCTGAATTCTGGGCGCGCGTGGGAGATAAGGTCAGTGGCGATGTTATATTGGATACCAATACTTGTAGTTGCTGACACCGCTCATGTCGGATAGGACAAAGCTATGGAATCTCATGAAACACTCCTCGAAAAGACGACATTCCTCGGAACCAAGATTGACTTGGTGCTGGCTATGATCCGTATTGGACTCTTCTTTGGTGACACCCTGTCGGTGAGAAAAAACATTGAACGGGCAAACACGCTTATTGAGAGCGGTGGTGACTGGGATCGGAGGAATCGTCTCAAGGCGTATAAAGGCCTACACCTGCTCACAATTCGGTCCTATAGCGGCGCTGCTCCTTTACTTCTTGACAGTCTGTCTACTTTCACGAGCTACGAACTATGCAGCTATTCTGCATTGGTCATCTACTCCGTCCTCGCAGGTTCGCTGTCGTTGAAGCGGGTCGATTTCAAAGCTAAAGTTGTGGACGCACCTGAGATCAAGGCTATTCTTGGGTCCGGGGAGGATCGGGTAGCTGCTTTAACTGGGGAGGTGTCTTCTGGGCCAAGTGCAAAGGACGAAGAAATGAAGGATGCTTCTACATCTAGAGCCACTCCAGGTGCTGCTACCACCGCCGTTAATTTGACCACCTTGGGGGCTGGCTCCGGGGTCCAAGCTGAGGCTGAAGTCCCCGTGGACTTCTCGCCTCTTGCCGACTTGGTTAGCAGTCTATATAACGGCAACTACCGATCATTTTTCGTGGCCTTGGCGGCCGTCGAAGACAATTTCCTGACTCAGGACCGGTACTTGTATGAACACCGCGCTTGGTTTGTCCGTGAGATGAGACTCCGCGCCTACCAGCAGCTTCTCCAGAGCTACCGTGTGGTAGGATTGAACAGCATGGCCAGCGACTTTGGAGTCACGGTGGACTTTTTGGACCGGTAAGTTCTAGTCAGTCGGATTCGAGCATATTAATCATATTCACTAACAATTGCAGGGATCTGGCCAAGTTCATCGCTAGCAACCGCATCGCATGCACTATTGACCGAGTAAATGGCATTATCGAAACAAACCGCCCAGATGACAAGAACAAACAGTACGCCGACGTCGTCAAGCATGGAGATGCTCTGATTACGAAACTTCAGAAGTACGGCCAGGCTGTGCGACTGCGCGGAAGTGAGCGGAGCTAAAGCTGTGGATGGTGACGAATCTGGGGGAATGGTCTGATTCTGGATTGTCCTGTGACCCATGAACGTTTCAAAGGATCCCTCAGGAATATGATGGTTTGAGTCATTTAATAAATATTGTCCTCATGATTACTGTTAGAGCAAAAGCAAGCGAGGCTGCTGTATCATACGTCTAATGAACGAAGACAACTCCGACCTCGAAATGTTGTAATCTGATATCATGCAATTAGGAAATCTCCACGGTATGTGGGCTGACCGGCTCTAAGCGCTGCGTATGTGGATTGGGAAGACTTGGCATCAAATGCGTCAGTTTCCGGGGTTTCTTTTGTCGCTCCAGACTGTCATTGTTTTCTAGGTCTGTTAAGCACAGCGCCAATGCAGGATAAGCTTTATGTCGACAGTTGTGTTTTATCAAACCGGTATGTGTATGTATACTGAAGGGACAATCGAAAGATCAGCCCGTGAATACAAAGGTGATAGAGAGATTCGAATCTGGCCAGATTCCGTCCTTCCCCGGCCGGCTACGGGAACCATCGGTAGGGTCAACGGAGTACGGAGCACCCGTGGGGTAGCATTTCAGGTACGGGGCAGTCCTCCGTCAATCCATGCCGATAGTTTGGTTCCTATAGAGTGTAATTTCTCTTCCACTGTGGGGGACTGACAAACCATATCAAGCCATACAGTTACGATTGACAATGCCAATGTCTCTCTCCACTGGTGAACCCCCATTACTGCTCTCATCCACTCCACCATGCCCTGTACCGTTGTATTGAGTTCGTATTGCATGGATGAGTCAGCGGCCGATCGGCACTCACCGCCTACAGAATTTCTCGCGCGATAACCAAATTTCCCAGGGAATTCTTTTTTCCCCCTGCACAGTGTGAGCCGTTGGACCCTCTCTGGCCTCTACGACACTGGACAACACCTCAAGTGGTATTTTTGACTAATTGCGCTTTGCGTGACCCGCGAATCCACACGGCAGAGAGGCAAAATTCGCGCAATTGATCACGTCAGGACAAATTGCCTCAAGAGCACTATGACCTGGCAGTTAAGACTCGTGCGGGCATCTCCGCTACGATGCTCACTTTCCCGGCCGAATGGCCCGTGGCGTATCCCGCGGGCGTCTTACGGCTGTAGCACAAGGTTCCCCGCCGGGGCTTTCAGGCCTTCTTCAGGTATGTGTTTCGGAAATCTATCGCTCGGTCCCACGGGGTCGATCCCTTCTGCACCTGTTCATTGGATGCCACATCGGTTTAGTTACTTTCCTGCCTGTATTTTTGAACTGTCACCCGCTCAAAAGCAAAGGACTCCCCTCACCCCGTCACATGCATGGTCATTCCTTCCCCTCATGGGGGTCGCCATTTAAATGTCCAACGGATGCTCCATCCGGGCGAGCGCTCGACTCATTCAAACAAAACAACTGACCCCTTTCGAATACCCTCAGACTCCGCGATGGCGACTCAGACTACAGTGTCCTACAGCACTACGCGCACCTTGTCCACCCCAGGCCGTTGCCTGAACCCTGATAACATCAACCCCCACGTCAAGGAGGCCAAGTATGCCGTCCGTGGTGAGCTTGCCGTCAAGGCCGAGGAGTACCGTGTGAAGCTGGCCAATGGAGACAAATCATTGCCTTTTGACAGTGTCATCTTTGCCAACATTGGCAACCCCCAACAGCTCGACCAGAAACCCATCACCTTCTTCCGCCAAGTACTCAGTCTCCTCGAGAACCCCCACCTGTTGGACAACGTGGAAGCACTTCGCACATCCTTTGGTTATGAACAAGATGTCATTGACCGGACGAAGAAGCTCCTCGCAGATGTCCAGAGCGTTGGTGCTTACAGTCACAGCCAGGGAGCACCCGTGATCCGCCAAAGTGTCGCTAAATTCATTGAGGAGCGTGATGGATTCCCGGCCAATCCTCAGGATCTGTTCTGCTGCGCTGGTGCCTCGTCTGGCGTCAGCACCATCCTCAATGTCATTTGCAACGGCCCCCAGGCCGGTGTCCTCGTCCCTATTCCGCAATACCCTCTTTACACTGCCACCCTTTCGCTCTTGAACGCGCAATGTGTACCCTACCTCCTCGAAGAGCAAAAGGCTTGGGGCACCGATGTGACTGCCATTCGTACCTCGTTGGCGCAGGCCCGGTCTGCCGGTACTGACGTTCGTTCGATTGTGGTCATCAACCCTGGTAACCCTACTGGTGCCTCTTTGAGCCCCCAGGATATCAAGAATGTTCTTGACCTTGCTGCAGAGGAGAAGCTTGTGGTTATCGCGGACGAGGTCTACCAGACGAACGTCTTCCAGGGCGAGTTCGTCTCGTTCAAGAAGAGGCTTCGTCAGCTGCAACAGGAAACACCAGGCAAGTATGACTATGTGGAGTTGGTCTCTCTTCACAGTGTGTCCAAGGGCATGGTGGGCGAGTGTGGCCATCGTGGTGGCTACTTTGAGTTGGTTGGATTTGACCCTGAGGTCCAGGCTCAGATCTACAAGCTTGTGAGCATCGGGCTTTGCCCACCAGTCATTGGACAATGCTTGCTTGAGCTCATGGTGAACCCACCCAAGGAGGGCGAAGGCAGCTATGAGCTGTACCAGAAGGAGTACAATGGAATCAGCGCCGGACTGCACAAGCGCGCCCTTGCTTTGTACAAGGCCTTCCAACAGATGGAGGGCGTTGAGTGCCAGGAACCTCAGGTATGTTTTTCACAATACTCTATCCTATGAACATAACTAACATGGCTGATATCTAGGGTGCCATGTATCTCTTCCCCACCATCACCCTCCCACCCAAGGCCATTGAGGCTGCCAAGGCCGAGAACCGTGCCGCCGACGAGTTCTACTGCCTGCGTCTTCTCGACGTACCGGTGTTTGCGTTGTCCCCGGCTCCGGCTTCGGCCAGAAAGACAACACTCTGCACTTCCGCACAACTTTCCTGGCCCCTGGTACTGACTGGGTTGAACGGATCGTCAAGTTCCACTCCGAATTTATGGCCAAGTATAAATAAATGAATAAAGCTAAACATGTACACATATGATTCACGTGATACCTGTTGAGAATATAGAGCATTATACCTCCGCCATATCCATGGCGCTACTCACATTGAAAGAACAAAATTGATTCCTCTCACATATCTTTAGATGTTCCTGTTCCACGTAACTGTAGGAGTTGTATTTGGTCTTTTAAAAACATAAAATAATGGCATGTAGAAGCATACCATAAAATTTGTGCTAATGGGAGTCCATTCCGACGGCAAGAACGAGCTGGACGTGGAGTATATATAACAGGTTCAAACAAAGCTCAAGTAAGCAATCGGACGTAGCTTTTTTTCCCGCTAAAAGAATAAGGAACACAAGGGGAAGAGAGGGCCTGTTTTAAATCAAAGAGAGAACATGAACAGAGGTATATAACTAATAAACAGTGCTAACAGGGAAGTATGCAACAACCAACATGGGTGATAAGATTATGGCCAAACACAAACTCCAAAACGAGTCTATCGATGCACTTTCAAGTCACTCGTTGAAATCATCATCGGGTAACTGCTTTTGGGTCTCAAGATTTGGATTCGCAGATCCGCGCTCATATCATTCGGTATCCCGAAGGATTATCGGGATAGAATCAAGACGTCCAACTAGGTAACTTTACTTGTACCCGGACCCCTTCTGTTTCATCCCAGAAGACCATATTTTCGTCTCAAAGTTGTGTATATGCCCAACCGCAAATGGCGAGGCGAATGCTGAGGGATTTGTAACAACGCTGGGAGTGATTAGATGACTGCTGGAGGTGGATGGGCAGTCAGAGGACACTGCCGTTTCGGCTGTCGAGCTCACTCGGTCCAGATCGACGCTTCCGTTTCTGTCTCGCGAGATTGAGCTCTGTGTATCCCCTGCTGAGTTGGGTCTCGAAGTGTCGAAACCGGGGATTAGGCAATGGGGGTGACTTTGTCTGTCCCGGGGCATTGAGGATACCTCGCTGTTGGTGATTGAGGCAGTGTCTGTGGTTGTGGTTGTGGTTGAGGCAGTGTCCGTGATGCCTGTGGCAATTGATGCATTGTCCGTGATGCCAGTGGCGATTGATGCATTATCTGTGGTGCCTGTGGTGGTTGATGCATTGTCCCACTTGCCCATGGCTGGTGCATTGTCTGTAGTGGTCGTGTTTGACGCTTCTTCTGCGAACTCCTGGCCTTCATTTATGTAGCACTTGGAGATTAGGTCGTTTTGGATGCAGAAGACCTTACTCATAGATCTGATTAGAGCGAATTTGAACTTGACTGTCATTTCTGGATGCAGTGAGATTGTTTCAAAGAGTAGCTGTTTCACGTAACCGAGGCAAGCATTCATATGGATGTACTCTATTGTTAATGGATGCATCAGGACTTTTCCTGTGTGCATTTCCCTATATTCGACATGTTCAGTGGGGTGCTGACAAGAAAAGATCGTTCGAAAACAACTCACCCAACTTTTCGTAGATACTCCCAGTACGAAGGCTGGCCGGGGTCTGAGCATAATCTGGTCAGATACCATTTCCAGAAGATCTTTCTCCGTTGCACTTGAGGACTGTCGATTGTGAACAAGTCCTCGATTTGTGCTTCGGACGTAGTACTTCGAGTGCGGAGCGCACGGGCTGTGATATCGAATTCCAGCATCTTCTCATAGAGACGATGAGTGAGCTCCGGAATAACTGTTTTCAGGTATTTTGAGCCTTTATTGAAGATTATGACGTCGTCTGTGTGCAATGATAAGCAGTCTGTGTTTGCTGGTAAGATAGAAAGCAGCCGCCTGTCCAAACATACCGTCTGTGAAATCCAGGAATGTCTTGATATACTCCATGCGCTTTCCAAAATCCGTGTATAGCTCCTTCCGCCCGACCCTCCTGATATCTTCCTGCACAGGGGCAACCGGATCCATGCTTAGATCGATGTGAGAGGTATTAATTAAGTAGACTGGTTAGAAGCCGTTGTGTACTAGGGGGTTTATCCGTGAGATGTATGGTATGCGTCCGTCGAG